CTCCCTCCCCCACATGACTCAGTTTAAAGCCCTCCTGATCAAATATTTTAGACTATTGGCAAAAATATTTCTGCCAACTGATGTGAGATACAGCTTATCTCTTGCCAGAAGTCCACCCTCATGGAAGTGCAGCCCATGATCCAAGAATCCAAATCGTTCTTGGAGGCACCATCTACAGAGCCAGTTATTCACATCTGCTATTTTCCTCTCCCTTCCTGGACCATGCCCTTCAACCGGGAGAAGAGATGAGATAACAACGTGTGCATCCAGCTCTTTCAGCTTCCTACCCAAAGTCTCATAATTCCCTCTGATATTCTGAAGGCTATGCCTTGCAGTATCATTGGTTCCTACATGGACCAAGAGGAAGGGGTAATGGTCAGCAGGCTTGACAAGTCTTGTCAGCCTCGCTGTCACATCAAGGATTTTTGTCCCAGGGAGACAACACACCTCCCGGGAATCTTGTCAGACCCACAAACCACTGCTTCTGCACTCCTCAACAAGGAGTCCCCAACCACCACCACATGCCTCCTCCGAGGCTTAGCAGTGGCTGTTCCCTGCAGTGGTACTCTCAGGGTCCCCTGGACTGTCCCTGCTGCTCTTCCTCTTCATCCTTGATAAGGGAGAGAATTTCAAATCGATTCTGCAGCTGCAAGCTCCCAGAACAATCCTTGATTTCCCTACTTCTGTGTGTGACATTCCTCCAGCTATCTATCTCCTATGTGCATGAAGTGACCTCCTCCTCAACAACTTCCTCTGCGTGATCCCCGTCCAAGACTGTTCATTCAGTTCTATCCTGGAGAACCTCTAATTCCCTAATATGCTGAAGTGTAGCTACCCAGGCCTCCAGCTGCTGGACTTTCTCTTCCAGGAGGGCTACCAACTTGTACTTGGTGCAGGTGAAGTTCCCCACATCTCTTGGCAAGAAGACAAACTTCCCACAAGTGTTGCAGGTGACTGCAGCAGCTCCCTCAGTCTCCATATTGAGAAATCTTAAGTAAGCACTGAAACAGGACTGTGGGCTTCTCCCTTAAAAAGTCCCCCAGTAAAGACCCACATAACGGGCCCCTGTTGGCTTGGCCTTTTCACCAGGCTCTGTCAGTGAGCTCGATCAACTGGGTTTATAACTCTATAGAGAGCTCCTGGATACTACTTTATTCTGAAGGCAAGTCTCTAACTCTTCCTCTAGCAAAAAACCCCAAAAGCCCTGTAAAATTTTTAATTTTTTTAAAAGGAGAACCAGAATAATAGAGGGTAGAGGGACAAGCACTCATTAATCTGAGATTTGTTAATTTGAGGGCAAATAGAAACAAGCAGAAAACCAAATATAAATCAGTGCAGGTCTACAGGGGGTCTCTAATCTAGATCAGGAACATGTTATAGATCAGCACCCCACAGCTGTTTTATTTCTCCAAAATAAAAGCAATGAGGTTAAACACACTTAATCAAATACTTGGCTAATATATCCCTAGAAGGCAAGATGACAAGACTGACTGCCGTACTTTGGACACATCATGAGAAGGCATGAATTGTTAGAAAATACAATAATGTTAGGAAAGGTAGAGGAAAGCCACATGCTACATGGACTTTATTAAAGAGACCACAAATATGAGTTTGCAGGAGCTGGGCAGAGTAGTGGAGGACAGGGGCGCCTGAAAATGTCTCATCCATAGGCAGTTAACAAAACAAAACAAAACAAAAACCTCATGTAGACTGGCTATTAGTGATCTTGCTGTTTGCTCTCAAAAAATCCAGAACTCCTATTTTCACAATTGCTGCTGTAAGCAAATATAAATTCTGTAAAGCTACAGGCTGCATGACAAGACGTTTCAGATTATGCTCCTGGGTAGTACAAAGGCTCAGTTACAAATAGAAATGCTTTAATTGTTATGGCAACCAGTGAGTATGCATGCCTATTCAGGAAATGCAGGAATTACCAAAGGAGAAGCTTGGTTTACATAAAAAACCTTTTCTCCCCTGGTTGATTTAAGTTAATCTATTTTGTAGGACACATTTTAGCATAGCCAGGAGTACTTAGTACTGAGGAAAGGAAGGTTTAGAGAAATAATTGTTCTCAGAAAATGCCTCTGCTACCATCAGTGCCAACCAGGATGAAACTGTAATCCAGCATGTCTGGACACCATACCCTCATATATTTTTCACATTTTACATGCAATACACATGGCCAAGTCACATCAGTGTGATTAAGGTGGCAAAAATTATTCAGAAAAATGCATAAGCTAGGAGTTTGCTTTTGCTTGAACTGACTGGGAAGGACATATTTGTACCCTTCCTCTCCTGCACCTTACTGAGTTAATGAAGTGAAAACTACTTTTGTACTTTGAACTCAGTTTGCAGCAACTCAAGTAATCTGAGGAAAATGGAAAGACAGAGGAAAAGAGAGAAAAAAATCATTGAAAAAGTGGAACAAGAGCAAAATAATATTTGTTGTTCTGTGCCTTCAAGTCATTTCTGGTTTAAAACAACCCTAAGGGTTTTTTTTTTACTACAGCAAAGCATGCATTTGACTGAACAGATAACAAAAAAACTATGGATGGCTCTTAAGCACATGGGAATGCCACTACATCTGATAGTCCTGATGGGAAATCTGTACTTAGGGCAAGAGACTACTGTTAGAACAAAATATGAAAAAATAGGATGGTCCCCAGTTGGCAAGGGGGTCGGTCAGCCAAGGCTGCATCTTATCACCTTATTTGTTTAATATGTACACAGAAAATATCATAAGAAGAGCAGGTTTAGACTTAGAAGAAGGAAGAATAAAGTTAGGAGGAAGGAATATCAACAATCTAAGATATGTGGATGACACCATACTACTAATGGAAAACATCACAGACCTGGAACAATTATTAAGGAAGGTCAAAGAGGAAAGTGCAAAGACAGGCTTAATGCTGAACATAAAGAAAACAAAAATAATGACCACTGAGGACCTACATACATTCAATCTAGAGACAATGACAAAATAGAAATAGTAAAAGAGCTCCTGTACCTTACATCAAACACTGATCAGGAAGGTGACTGCAATCAAGAAATAAGATGAAGACTAGGAATGAGAAGGGCAACCATGAAAGAGCTAGAAAAGATCCTAAAGAACAAAGATATACAACTCAACACC